CCTGCACAATATCCAATAGGAAGATCTGCATGAAAAAGCCCTTGGCGTTGCTTGTCATTTGATAGGGCATCCCTCCAATGGCATAGCACAGTTTCCTTGTAAGTGGAATGCCTGGCCCTTTCTGCAAAAGAACAACATCTATGCAGTATGTCACATCTGGATTTATTCCACAGCTGCTTACACATAAACAGTGTAGCAATGGTAGTAATGCCATTTGACTATCTAAATAAGAGCTTTACTGAAAAGACCATTAGTAGCATTCAAACATAAATAACAGAGAAAGACAAAATGTTTTATAGAGGGTAGAATAATTCCAAATATGTGTGTATGGAGTTTCTGTGCTGAGTGTTAAAATTAGTTTAAATTATTTTAAGAGTCACATAGATTCAAAGTGGTCTTTGGGTATCGGTTCCTCAATCTTTGCTAAGAAAACTGCAGGAATGAAACATTCTCGTTGTGTGCGCTGAAGGCTTAACACCACCAATTATCCATTTTGCTCCTGTGAAAATGTAATTACCCCCTTAGTTTTGAAACAAAGATATCAACATCAATTTAGTTTATAATTAGATTTGTGTGGTTGAAGACAGTCAGGATTGATTTCAACCAGCCCTGTTGAGTTTAAATGGCATGTATATTGAACCTTACAATCAGAGAAATGTATTCACCACATTACTTCATGTCTCTACAGGCACAATAAAAAAAATTCCTTAGCAGCTGAGAAAAAAATTTTTGAGATATATAACAAAGTCTTAAAAAGTCCCAGAAAACTTCTACCTATGCAATGAACTGACAGTGAACAATATGAAAGACAATGGGCTTCATGGAAGCGTAGCAAGGCAGAAACCACTTGAACATCAAGGCTCATCTCACATTTGCTAAAAAGCACATGGATAATGCCTGAGACCTTTGGGACAACATTTTATAGAGAGATGAGTCAAAAGTGGAAGACTGCACATCTCCCTATGTCTGGCGTAAAGAAAATACAGCATTTAACCTCATATCTTCAGTGAAACATGGTTGTGGGAGTGTGAAGGTATGGAGATGTTTTGTTCCCTCTGGATCTGGGCGACTTGCTATCACTGAAGGAAGCATGAATTCTGGGATGTACCAGACAATTCTCAAGGAGAATATCCAACCATCTGAAGTGTAATTGGATGATGCAGCAACTTGGAGTGGAGTCAAAGCCCAGACTCAAACCCAAAAGAATTGCCTGAAGACCTACACATCTATCCAAATTAAAGATGTTCCGCAAGGGCCAAGATTTCTCAACAGAGATTTGCAGGCCTCATATCAAATTATAGGAAGTGTTTAGTTGCAGTTATAGTGCTGCTAAGGATCTTCTAACCAGATATTAGGATTAAAGGGGCATTTATTTTTCACAGGGGTGATATGGGTGTATGTTAATTATTTTCAATCAAGGAACAAGACAAACATTTACGAAATTGTGTTTTGTGATTACTGCAGTTCTCTTTGTGCAATATTACATGTGGTCTGAAAATCTGAAACCATTCAGTGCACCAAATAGAGAATACACTATGGAGGAATTTCCTGTTATCTATATCAATACCATTTGTTAATCAGTATTATGTCAATCAGTATCTATGCAACAGTATTGAAAAGTGACCTTAAATCACCTCATGTGTTAACTTTCAGAGTTTCATTTATATACTACACTGTACCATTTCTAGTACATTTAGAAGGGTGACTTTATGCCTATGATCCTACAAGGATGTTTCTGTGAGAACAAACTGGTGTGACCTTGTCGGTGGTGTTTTTAAGGTGAAGGCTAATGTTGTTTTTGAAACATAAACTGACTGAACTCTCGCCATGGTTAAAACTGAGATAAGGGGATAGTGAAATAATTGGGGCGAGAGGCAGGTGTGTGATTAAAAGAAAGAAGAGAAAACAACATCTGAGGAGATCAATGTTTTAGAATTGTATAAAAGCATGGGCCACGACTATGTAAATCAGATGCTCTGCAGACCATCTTGGCTTTGTTGTTTGATTCAATAATGTCTATAGATTTTTGGCATGCAGAACCCCTTGTCTTTGTAACTCCTTGTCTTATTCTGATTTGCAGAAGTATTTGCCACGACAACACAAAGTTTCCAGAGCATGTTTGGGTCAAATGCCCATCATGAGCAGTGCAAACTAAGTGCTGTTGAGGCAGTATGAGGTGGGAAGAAAAACAGATATTCTTCAATGGTGTGTTAATGAAATTACCTGTTGGTTGTAGGTTGGTTCCTCAGCACACGAGATTTCCGCGCGCGGTGGGTGAGAATCCAGGCGCATCCTCGCGCGCCTCGACAGCAGATGCCACTTACAAACCCTTCTGCGTTCACAGGGAAAGGAGTGGCGTCTTGAAGCTCTTAATTCCTGCTGCACTCAATAACTTTCTTATGGATTCCTTCGAGAAACGCACAAATACACAAAAAGTTATATTTGGTAGGCAGGGGATGGCTCCATGTCTTGCTCAAAGATTGCTGACGATTCCAGAGCGATTCGTTCTTCCTGATTCCTTAAAGTGAAGAAAAAAAAAACCACACTAAACGTGCAGTCGCAAGCAGAAACCTTAAAGTACTGCACAGTCTTTTAGGGCTGATTGTACACGCAGCAGTGCAATGCACCCTGAAGTGGCTGTTTCTGCCCTTCTCCCTAAGTCTACGCCCTCTTATTACTTCCCCCTCTATAGGAGTAACGGATATTCCCTTCTTTCTTTTTTAAGCTGGAGCTTTTTTCCTGTTCATTATCCTAACTAACGTATAAGCCTGACTCTAATTTACAAATGCAAAGAGCATCAACTTGTGCGCACAATACTGTAAGTTTGATAAATAAGTGGAATAAATATCAGGCCCCAGGTCTTCTTACCCAACATCAGTGCCCAACCTCACCAATGTGTCTGAATGAGCAAATCCCAAGCAAGCCATGCTCCAGCATCTAGTGCTCATATTCCAGCCTGCAGCCTCGTTTCATTTGGCCAGAGTGAACCTGGAAAAAGTAATCCTGAAACGGCCCATCGTACACTACTGCTCAGCATTTTCATACTATTCACAGCTTCACAGCAGAGCCGTAGAGCAGCGACCAGCACTGTACAGCACACACCAGCTCAAATCTCCCAGTGCTTAACTAAAACCAACAAGCGGCGCCAGCCTTTTTCACCATCTGAATCACACACACACACACACACATATATGTGTGTGAATATATATGTGAATAACACCGAATAACACCGATTAGCTCATTACGGTGGCACCTGTCGAGGGGTATGATATGTTAGGCACCAGTCAGTTCTCGAAGTTGATGTGCTGGAAGCAGGAAAAATGGGCAAGTGTAAGGATCTGAGCGACTTTGACAACGGCCAAATTGTGATGGCTAGACGACTGGGTCAGAGCATCTCCAAAACGGCAGGTCTTGTGGCGTGTTCCCGGTATGCAGTGTTTAGTACCAAAAGTGGTCCAAGGAAAGACAACCAGTGAACCGGCGACAGGGTCATGGACGCCCAAGGGTCATTGATGCGTGTGGGGAGTGAAGGCTAGCCCGTCTGGTCCGATCCCACAGAAGAGTTACTGTAGCACAAATTGCTGAAAAAGTTAATGCTGGCTATGATAGGAAGGTGTCAGAACACACAGTGCATCACAGCTTGCTGCATATGTGGCTGCGTAGCCACAGCCTCCAAATTCCCCAGCTCTCAATCCAATCGAGCATCTGTGGGATGTGCTGGACAAACAAGTCCGATCTATGGAGGCCCCACCTCACAACTTACAGGACTTAAAGGATCTGGTGCTAACGTCTTGGTGCCAGATACCACAGCACACCTTCAGAGGTCAGTGGAGTCCATGACTCGAAAGGTCAGAGCTGTTTTGGTGGCACAAGGGGGACCTACACAATATTAGGCAGGTGGTTTTAATGTTATGGCTGATCAGTGTATATATATATATATATATATATATATATATATATATATATATATATATATATATATAGGTGCAATATTCTTTGAGGCCATATGTAAAATAAGTGCAATATTTTAACTGTTCAATATTCTTTTTTTAAATTTATTTATTTATTTTATTTTATTCTACTTTCTGCACTGAGAGTACTCACTCAATTTCGTTGTACATCCATTGTTACAATGACAATAAAGAATTACTTACTTACTATCAGACAAGACGTTCAGCAGAGGATTGTGAAAAAAGGTGGTACAATGTTTTGGTAACAGCACGCAAGGAAATTGCAGCATACAACCAAAGCATGCGAGCCACTGGTAAGTTTCAGTTTAGGCCTACTAAACAATGTTTTTTATAGTAAATGATTGTTTCCATGTGGTCAGCAGTTGAGTTCTTGTTGTCAAATAGGTGGAGGGCCACCATGTAATCTTCTGTCTCAGATCGCTGAGATAGCAGAGGAGATACTTGGAATGGCTAATCCATCCATTTGTGGCATTGCAGATGCCCAAGACCATGCACTGCTCAAACTGAAGGAGCTACAAAGATGGTATGAAGAAAATAATACGTGTAATAATGCGTTTGCCTTTTTTTAACTTGACATTGGTTACTTTAATATATGGACATGAAATAAACACAACACATCGGATTGAATAAACATGTTTGCACTGTTTAATATTTTCTGCATGTGAATGTAGTGTGGATGATGCTGGAGCCAGTCCATCTGACGCATCTTCTCCTGGATCATCTCAGGACATTTCCCTGTGTCCTCCACACGGGGTTTGCACAGAGCACAGCCCCTCACGATGACATTGAGTCTCTTAAAAGAAAAAAGCTCAAATTACAAATAAAGTTGCTGGAAATTCAAAATGAATATTATATACTAAAACTGAAAAGATTAAAGAATACTCAATGATTGTACATATGTTTTGTGCAAATAAAATTGTGGGCTGAAAAATTTGTGCGTTGTTACTTATCGTCAACCAGTTTTACTTACCCAAAATGTAAGTTGGCAAAGCAGTCCCTTATCGATGCTCTCCCTAAAACACTCTGGGGGCAGTCGTGGCCTAATGGTTAGAGAGTCGGACTTGTAACCCGAAGGTGAACCTGACTCGTGGGTTCGAGTCTCAGGTCCGGCAGGGATTGTAGGTGGGGGGAGTGAATGACCAGCGCTATCTTCCACCCTCAATACCACGACTGAGGTGAGACCCTTGAGCAAGGCACCCCAACTGCTCCCTGGGCGCTGCAGGCTGCCCACTGCTCCAGGTGTGTGTTCACGGTGTGTGTGTGTGTGTGTGTGTGTTCGTTCACTACTGTGTGTGTGCACTTGGATGGGTTAAATGCAGAGCACAAATTCTGAGTATGGGTCACCATACTTGGCCACACTTCACTTCACTAATGTGTGGTCAGTGGTATTGCCATCATCATCACTCATAATAATCATGATCATCATCACCAAGCAGTGCCATCATTCTCATCATAATAATCATGATCATCATCACCAAGCAGTGGAAGCTTACGAGCTTTTCAAATGTTGTGTAAAATGCCACAAGCCATAATAATGCGACTAGCACGCTCAGGAGAGTGTCGAATCTCTGAAGGACATGGAATCTACTTTTCAGCTGTCTAATTCCTTTCTCCACCAGAGTTTCCTTATTTTGTGTGCCCTTCATGATGTAAAAAAACTATAAATGAACATAGCTCAGATAAGTCATGAATGCACTCAGTGAACAAAATTGGTATTTTGTCTACAGTTCAGTCTGGTACAGTACCTGTTATAATTGAGCTGCAGTTCTCCTTGTGGTCTTCTGTAAGGGGAGAGATCCAGGATCTTGTAATTACCATCAAACACAACTTGAACACTGATGCTGTGGAGTCCTTTTCTATTGATGTATGTCTCCTCATTTACAGTTGGAGCAATGATGTGAACATGAGTTCCATCGATGGCTCCAAAAACTCCGGGGACGCCCGCAATCCTCATAGAAGAGGCTTGCTTTTGCCGTATGGTTTGAATGTTGGTTGGGAAGTCAATGAACTGCCTTACTATGTTTGGGGTAGTTAGTGCCGCAATAGTGGTATTTAAGACCCTGCTTACTGTGGACTGTGATGGGCCGAAGCCAGGCAGAGTCATTATTACTTTCTGCAGTTAGACCGTTGTTTCTTAGAGTGGGAGAAGTTATTGAATTTCTTACTATGTCAGTAACAAAAAGAATACCTTGACAATTAAGCCTTTAACGTTTTTGTCAACTCCTGTTGTCATATAATTCCAACACATTCTTTCTTTGTTGGAAAGTGCATGGTCTCTGCCTCTCTGCTGCCATCTTGTTACTCCTAACTAGGTTAGGACACCTCTCCAGCACTCTTAAATAATTTAGAAGGCTGAGACCTAGCCTTAACACTTAGGAACCTTTATGAATCACATTTATTCTTAAGTCTAGGAATAAGACTAAAATTATGTCGTTCGACACACTTAAGACTAAAATTTTTACTCGGAGCGGCTTTATAGATATTGTTGAAGCCATTTTTGTTGTAGTTATGTATTTATCCATTGGGTGGCACTCTGGTATAGAATACCCATGGTATATCAGGGCAATTGGATAATGAGACAACAGGTGTGTGTATTGGTAGTGGGGAAGCACACAGTTTTTGACCGTTTTAGGCCGTGCTTCATTATGTTAAACAGGCTTTTTGGATTATGTGTTGGACCGTGTTGAACAGTATGCTGTATCTACAAGGTATGGAGTTTTGTGTGGACTTTTTGTGAACTACACAAAATGACACCACAGGAAGCTAATTGAAGCACAATAAAGAAAGAGACTATTTGCATCTTACATCTGTTTGCATAGACTCTAATTTTTACGCGTCAACTACATGCTCACTCCTATTACCAATACCAGCAGTTTAATGGAAAGCTGCTACACATATGGCCACTGATGTTTTGGCTCTGACATGCCACCTAGCGAATGTCGCTTTTAAATCTTCCAGATGTACATAAGGTACACAGCAAACAATGTGAACAATGCTGCTGCTTCTTCACACACACACACACAAAGTCATACACCAACTATAAACCAGACCCCTCTGCTTCAAGTTGGGGTGTATCACACCATCCATGAATTATGGCATGGATTATTTTTCTATAACAACACAACAATTTTCACTAGACTGGTAAGTCAGTACAAGGAATATTTGTATGGTTTTTACACATAATAAATAATAAAATGTTCATGTTACAGTAGTCCTATATTAGAAATCTGGAATTTAAAAAAGTAGGGTGGGCAAGAGGTTGCAGAAGCTTTATAATGTCCATTTGGGGTTGTTTGCCCAAAAAGGTTGGGCACCTCTGATCTAGGTACACTTGTTTAAGGAAAGCTATAATGTAGCTATGGAACTACATTGCAGTTTAGCTGACTAAATTTTTACTTTAATTTTTAATTAAATTAATTTAATTTAATTTTCCTAAAACGTTTTGGCATTGTGCTATGCTGGGTCAGCACGAGGCCCAAAGTAGACCCGTGAGAAGCGCTCACAATGTCACACCAGTGCCAGAATCCACCAGAAACTCCACTTCCCAGAACACACTGTGGCCTACAAACATGGCCACCACGGACTACAATCCCCAGCACCTCACTCCACCGGCACGTTCACACTCACCTGAATACTAATCATGCACACCTGTTTCTCATTACACTCACTGCCTATATAAATGGACTCTGGACACTGCCTCATTGTAAAGTAATGCACAGTGTATGCTGACCTGAACTTACCAAGCCTTTTGAATCTGTGGCTGAGAGTCTGGTTTTTGCATTTTGCCCTTGAATTGTTGTTATGATTGAAATTGTAATCAGCTTAAAACTTGGAAGATATAGTTACTGTATGTTTCTAAGTAAGCACAATTATTTTGTCAATTAATACATTTAATAAATAAGTTTTATAAATACATTTTAAATAGTTGTTGTGTTGGCACAGCAGGTAGTGTTGGTGCATTACAGCTCCTGGGTCCTGGGTTTTGATCCTGAGCTCCAGTTACTCTCTGTTTGGACTTCTGCATGTTCTCCCTGTGTGTACAGCACCTTTACACATTTCTCAGCTTTGTGATTATAGGAATTTCACTCCTAGGACAGCCTTATGGCACAAACTTTTAAAAAAATGTTTTGGAAAAGTTATGAATATTTTTACTTATCTTTCCAACATATAAATGTTGGAAGGATAATTGTCCTTAAATTTAAATAAAATAAAGTATTGCAGACAATATATTCTTGATCAGGTAATATTGAATATATTAGCTGATTACATATACTTATGGAGCACTTTATTACAAACATTTGTACACCTACTCATTCATGCAATTATCTAATCAGTCAATCGTGCAGCAGCAGTGCAATGCATAAAATAATGCAGATGCGGGCCAGCAGCTTCGGGTACTGTTCACATCAACCAGAATGAGGAAAAACTGTGATCTCAGTGATTTTGACCGCGGCACAATTGTTGGTGCTAGATGGGCTGGTTTGAGTATTTCTATAACTGCCGATCTCCTGGGATTTTCACACACAGCAGTCTCTATAGTTTCCTCAGGATGGTACAATAAAGAAAAAACAGCCAGTGAGCAGCAGTTCTGTGGATGGAAACACCTTGTTGATGAGAGAGGTCAACAGAGAATGGCCAGATTGGTTCGAGCTGACAGAAAGGCTACAGTAACTCAGATAACCACTCTGTACAATTGCAGTGAGCAGAAAAACATCTCAGAATGCACAACACGTCGAACCTTGAGGCGGACGGGCTACAACCGCAGACCACGCCAGGTTCCACTTTGGTCGGCCAAGAGCAGAAAGCTGAGGCTGCAGTGGGCACAGGCTCACCAAAACTGTACAGCTGAAGACTGGAAAAATGTAACCTGATCTGATGAATCTCGATTTCTGCTGAGTCACAGATGGTAGGGTCAGAATTTGGCACCAACAGCATGAATCCATGGACTCAACCTGCCTTGTGTCAACAGTCCAGGCTGGTGGAGGTGGTGTAATGGTGTGGGGAATGTTTTCTTGGCACACTTTGGGCCCGTTAATCCCAATCAATCATCGCTTGAACCACAGCCTATTTGAGTTTTGTTGTTTTTTATTTATTAATTACATTTTTGAAAATATATTTGCAATTTAATTCCATTCGATTTATTTGTGTTCAAAATCTCTCATTGAGCACTGTTGCCTATACTAAATATAAATATCAGGCCTAAAAATGCTTCATTGTTAGTTGTCAGTTCTGTAGAAGCAATCACACAAGGGCAAAAATATGAAATGAGGAAGAAGAAGAAGAAGAAGAAGAAGGGTTTTTCATTCCAAAGGCATGATGAGCGTGGCATGGGAAAACCACAGTCCCCATCTTTACAAGGGCAAAAATATGAAATGAGAAAGAAGAGCAAGAAGACGACGCTTTTCACGAGCGCCCCCTGTGGAGAATCTTCAGCGTGTTAAAGGTGAGTGAATGAAACGGCAGTCTATGAGGTGCTTCGCTCTTAACTTGTGTTTATTTAAATTATTATCTAATTCCCTTTGGAATTATTTAACTTTCGTAAGGCAGCTCGCATTTACAGTTTCACATTCACTATCATCGCCTGTTTCTTACTATTCTGTATGGGAGACATTTCTACAGCCATGTGAGTACCTGTCAGTCAGTCAGAATTCAGTTACTTTGGTGTAGTTATCCATTTTTGTGTACAATACTTTCAGCTATTCTCCCAGAATAGAAAAGCTTTAAGGCAGTAAAAACAACTTTAGCCTTAATGCTAGAACAGGAGTGCGATGTAGGCTAATGCTGCCTTCACGTGCTATCGGAATTATCGTAAATACGAGTTTCCCACTAGGAAGTTGCACATGAATGACCCTTCAAGTCGTAATTATGACGAGATGGAAGGAGTCCTAAACTTTCAACATGTCGGAGGAGAAGACAGTTTCTGTACTGAATGGCAGGTTTTGTTCATTTTTCTAAATGCAGCTAATTGTTAGCGTTTGTTGTTTTGGTCATATTCATTTGTGCACTATATCAGCAACCACTCTATACATGTTGTACATTTTTACACCGTGAAAAAAGATTGTATTTGACCAAAATTTCCTTATCGTCAGCAAGCTGGCTATCTGAGTAATGT